TTGTATCTGCTGTTTTGGGAAGGATGTGGGGTAGGTTTGGGAGGTTCTCAAACGAAGCCGCCTTTAACGCAGACGCCCACCTCCACCCTTGCCTCCTCCGCACACACCCCTTTCCCGCATTTTTTGCTGGGGCAGCCGCAACCATTAGGTTGAGATGCCTGTCATGCTCCGCGAATCGCTGCTGCGCTTCGAGAAGCTCCAGTGCCGCGACTCGAATGCGACATCGCGCGTCGTCCACCCACCCTGGATCGCAGGCTCGCGCCGCATCCAAGCATCCACAGGGCTCCGTATCTCGTGAATCATAGCTTGTCGCAATGCTGCTAGGGCTGCATTCGCAAACAGAATAGGGTTCGTTGGATCTGCCAGTCGCGCTGCCGTTGCTGTAGCTGTTGCTGGGTTCGCATGCGCAAGGCGAATGATTCCGCTCGGGAGGTGAGCCCTGCGGCGAAGCCCCGTAGTTGTAATCGACGTCGTCATCGTCGTCGCCGCAACAAAAAACACTTCTTGCGCTGAGCTGCGCGGCCTCTCGCGACAGTTCAACTTCAAGTTGCAATCTCGATGTCGCTTCCGCCGCCGCCGTTGCCAGTTGAGAGCACGAAGCGGACTCGCGAAGGCCAGCGCCGCCCTCTCCGCCGCGTCGGTTGGTGCAAGTAGTACCAGGAATGGCAGACATGGGAAAGAGCGGCGGCCATCCCATGATGCTCTTCATGAGGCGTGTTGGGGAGAAGGGTTGCTCCTTGAAGGGTTGCTCCTTGATTTCGGAATGCTGAGGCGGACTGGGAGCAGCAGCGGGTCCCATGTTTTTTTCCCAGTGAGTGGAGCGTAACGCAACCCTCCTAGTAGGAAACTCTCAGAGTTCGTTTTTATGCTGGTGGGGAAGAACACTCAACGCGTGTGCAAGCCGCAGTGACCCGTCTGGTACTGATGTTGTGCGGAGACGCGGCGGACAAGGGTGCAACACCCTTGGAAAGGACGAGGTGCTAGCAGGCATAGGAGCTTGGTGCTGAGCAGGAACGGGGTTGGCCGCACAGGTGAGAAGAAATGACGACCCGCGGGAGGAAAGACATATTTTAGTATTTATCCACAACGCAAACACGGAGGGAGCGTCCATCCGTGAGAAACAGGGGTACCATACCCATCGCGAAGCTCTGAGCTAGTAGAAAGTCATCCCCAACCCCAACCCAACCGACCATCCCCTGAAAGTTCGCGCACGCATGGCCAGGGCGCGAATCGCTGCGGGAGCACTGTTTAGGAAAAATCTGCAGCGAAGCTTGCGGGGATTCCGAACTTTGCGGGAGCACTGGTGCATGAACTTCCAGTTAAACTGGAGCTGAAATGTCCCGGGAAACTTCCCCGGTACATCGAGGGAGGAACGTGCGACATTGGATTTGTCCTCTGAAATACGAAAACGTTGGACGCAGATATGTACGAATATTACAGCGGCTATTCTCTTTTCGGGTGGCGAGACGGTGCGAAGCTCGCATGCCAGACACAGGCGCTGTCGTGCGTCACTGTTTGCTACGTGGCGGCTAAGAAACACCAGTGCCGGGATGACTCGGTGGCACAACAAGGCCTTGGCGACAATTGCCGAGCATTTTACTGGCGACATTTGTGAGCACCTTCGGATGAAAGGATGGGCCAAGCTGGATCTGTACGGCGGATAGGAACGAAGGACGAAGCGCAGGAGCCGCGTAGGATAGGGTTAGCCAAGCCCAACTGCGGCATCACTAACGTGTGCGTGCTTTTCTTGGCGTTCTAAGTTGCTTGCTCCATACAGTGCGAAACAAACGAAAACCGAATGCCAGTGTGGTCTCAAATGGGCTGCGTCGAAGTTTCTCATGCTCGGATACTCAGATACGAACTCCAGTGCAGATTCGGTAGCAAGACAAGCGACTATGGATTCTGCTGCTGCTCTATGGCATGTTGACGCCAAGGCTGCCCCTGCTGACGCTACTAAAGCTATCCCCATAAATGCGCCAGCTTTAGAAGCCGTCTAGATTCCGCCACGTACAGGGTACATGAACGCGGGTGAGATGGGCTCTTGAAAAGGAGGAAGAGCTGTTGCTGTTGCTGTTGGGTCGACAAGACTGGAAATACAGCGAATCCGCTGGCTCTATAACATATGTGGTTGGCTGGCAGGGGTGGTCTGTTTGGTGAGCCGAAGGATGGAGAACGCAAGGGGTTACAGTACGGCGATGTGTTGGTAGGTCGATTTCGAATGGACTAAAAACAGGGTACTTGACTAAGTTACTCCATGGGTCTCGTGCTGAGGTGTACTAGCTCGTCATTTTTCTGCTGTGCGGGTCTGACAGCGCGCAGGGGAATCCACAATGATACACGTCTAAACATTGACTAACCTTCCTTGAAAATAATGCCACCTAGATTGTGCTGGGTAGCAAAACACAGAAGGGCCACTGCCCTACTAGTTCTATGAATTTTGTCATCAGGAGCACATCATGGGATGGGATATACGCTTTCAATAAACAGTGGGGATGAAAGTAACCACTCGCCTCTCGTCGCCTAACTTCGCTGGACCTGCGACAATTCTGGCGAAGAAGCCTGCCCCCGCATCTGTCATCTAAGGGCGCGTTCGTTCTTGCCGAACCTGACAAAGTTCGAACTCAAACCGCTTTGCACCGTGGCAAAACGTTTTTAATTGTATTCTACCGTGACGAACCGTTACAAAAGTTCGAACTCAGTCAGGTTCGGCAAGAACGAACGCGCCCTAATCGCACAACAGTGTCTCCGTTTTAGGTGCATTCGAATTACGTGCTCAGCATTACCAACTCTTTTATGACATATTTACCATATTAAGCAAATGCTTCGGCAACGTCATGTAACATCGTCTGGCATTCTCAAACTCCCATGTTGTTTTACATCCGTTGTTGGACCACATTGCACCACTATTGCAGTCGCACCCATGGTAGAAATCCTAAAATTGAAGTCAGAAGCTGCCCCCTGGTCTTGTGAACACCAACGAAGCTTGTTCGCTCCCTCAAACCGCCACCGTCCTTCCTTTCATGGCGCTTGTCAGGGTATGAAGCACTGCAGATGTCTCCCCTTGAATTTGCAATCGTCGACGGCATGGCACACGAACTGGCATCGCATCCTGTCACTTTCACCGCGTCGTCCGACGTGTAGTCGCCTCCCGCCATGTCCATTAATCTCCGGTTGTGCTCCGCAAATCGCTGTTGCGCCTCAACGAGCTCGAGCGCTGCATGACGAATCCGCGACCGCGCGTCTTCCACCCACTCAGGATCGCACGCGCGAGCGGCGTCGGCGCAGGAAAAGGAGTCTGACGAGGCGTGAAGAGGATCCCGTGGATCGGTGCTCCAGAACCGAAACGAGCCTCCTACATCGTCTTCATCGTCGAAGATTTCGTAGTGTACTGGGCCTGTAACGGGGACAGACACCTCGTCGCCGATTCGCCGAACATCAGTTGCGGAAACGCATCTGCGAACAACCCATTTATCGGCTTCCATGATGGTCAGTGCAGTTGCACGCAGAAACTCCCGTGACGTAAAAACTCCGGAGAGGAAATGGACGTGCAGTTGTCGGAAATGTACAGCTCAAGTTAAACAAAGCTACCATCAAGATGAAAAAAGGTTACTTTCGAGTGTGCCTCTGCCTGTTCTATTTCAAACAGATATGAAGTCGGCTAAATGCGCGAAGCGTCGTCGGGAAGGATGTGTGTGTTTCAGCGCTTTTTTTCTGGAGAAAAGGGTGAATGCGAGATTCGTGAACCAGGAGTGTGACCGCCAAAAGACACGGTGGAGCAGCATTTGAGGGACGAACAGGACCGAAACCGAGGTGGCAACATCGGTGATGCGATGCGATGCGATGCGATGATGCTGCAGCCGCTGGCATCACCACAAAAAGAATGAAGGGGAAATCAGAGGGAAGGGCTGAATGCACTGAGGGGGAACTCAAGGGGATGAGGGGGAGCGGAGGGTACAAACAGAGGGGTGAATTTGTGGGTTGTATGTGTGTATGTGTGAGCTACGAAACGTCAGGTGAGGGGGGAAAGCTGGGCTGAGGACGCGTCACAAGTAGAACATCGATCGTGCCTAGAATCGGTGTTTAGCTGGTTACACATTTTCGTTAATTTTCGCTAACGTACAGTTTTCCCTTCTAAGTCAGGCGATCGATGTGCCCCTGTCACACATCGATCGTGCAATTTCGTCCACATCGGGCAATTTTGCCCCATGTTTTTACGACCGTGTCACTTGAAACTTCAAAGCAGTCGTGACACACCGATATGGCGATCGGTTTGACAGGTTCGGTGAACAACCCTGATCCTTCCTCGATATTTTACTTGTGACACGTCCTGAACCCCGTCGGTTTGGAGGGGAGATATGGTTATGGGGGCGCGGCATGGAGGGCCATTGGTCTACATAAGATACAAGAATCGGAGCCAATTGGTTTCTAAGTAGCGGATGTTGGATTTGCGATTGGCTGAATGACAGCTGAATTTCAGGGCGGATTCACGCACCTCGGCTGAATGTGTCGCGTGGTGGGAAATGGGGAAATCTGTTGCGGTGAGTTTTTGTTTGAAACCGCGTGTGAAATGAACCCAACGCAGTGACCACGCAACTTCTTGAGTAGGTAACCACCACAGAACAGTTGAAGTACAGTAAAAACCGTCATCTTATCCAAACAGTGCGTCTGTGGTTGACCCGATTCAGCTGAAACGTTTGCACTGTTGTCCCGACTCCTGAATCAGATGCTTGTGATGTGATTCGCTCTCGCTGGGACCGTCGGCAATCGTGTCGATTGGATGCTTTCTCAGAAACGATCAGCGGTGGCCCACCGGAAGGAATGCAAGCAGCCAACGAGGTGCGTGCAATGAATGCATTAAATGCATTTGACGGTGGCCGTTATTGTACAGTACCTCCTCCCTTGTGTCTGTCTCCGGTTAATTTGAGTAAACACCCAGCTGATCTGTTACCAAAAAACTACATGTAGGATGTACGGTAACTTGCAATTAAGAATGTGCTATATCATGCGTCGGGCCCTATGGTAAAAAAATTGTGAAGAGTAGAATCAAGGGAAGCCAAGAGCATCCCGGAGAGAGTATGAATGCGAGCGGGCCAAATGCACCCACCATGAAACGGCATTGCTGCTCGCATGGAAAGGAAGAGGACACGAAGGAACAAAGCATGGTTACTACAGTAAAAGTTAGGCAACCATTTAACCATGCACAACGTTGGAAATTCAGGCAAGGAAGATCCAAAATCGCTGTAAAAGGAATATGAATGCACGGGGGACACCATACCCTTTCATAAACCCCCCTCACACCGAACTCACCCCACAGGAGCCGACAAACCGACTCATTGTAACTCACCCGGAGCTACACGAGGATGGGCAGAGGGCAGCAACAGATGATTGAGACGTCTCAAAAAATCACGCTCAACTTCCCTACCAGGTTGAAAGTAAACTCACCCGGAGGTACGCAAGGATGAGCAAAGGGGCAGCAAGATATCATTGAGATGCCTAAGGCTAGAAAATCAAACCCAAGGTCCCAATACAACGACTCAGACTCACCCGGAGGTACACGAGGATCGGCAGAGGGGCAGCAGCAACCACGAGTGCAAGCACAGCCACCACCTGCCATGCTCTGATGGGCCACACACACCCCATGCCCCACTGCTGCCTCCTGCTCCCCCTGCCTTCTGACAAGGAATCCACCTCAGAACCCATTTCCCTCTGCTGCTGCCTCCTGTCCCTCCTTCTCTTGAAGGGGACTGTAAAGGGGGAGGAGGGATTGGAAGACTGGGCAGTGGCAGGTGAAACAGCAGCAGCAGGAGCGGGAGGAGGAGGAGAGGGGGACCGGAGCGGGGTGGCTTCAGATGAAGACCCCAGCCTTCCGTTTGACCCCCTTCGACGCAGCGTCTTCGCCCCCTCGGTTCCTTCTCCCCCACTGCTACAGGTGCTGCTGCTGCTGCTGCTGCTGCTACTCCTGATAATGATGCCATCAGCAGCAGCTGTAGCAGCTGTAGCAGCTGTAGCAGCAGCTGTAGCAGCAGCTGTAGCAGCAGCTGCAGCAGAAGCTGTAGCAGCTGCACCAGCAGCTGTAGCAGTTGCAGCCTCTGCATGTGTGTCCACGCCTGTCCCATCATCATCACCCTCTCTTCCCCATCCTTCTGCTTTTCCTGTTGCTCCCCGTTGCCCCTCCCCTCCCCGATCCACCAATGCTTGCGTCTCCTCCTCCTCCCCACTCCTCGCCCCCTCCCTTCCAGACACCATTCTCCCGTCTCTCCCCTCCTCTCTCTCTCCATCCCTCCCCGCCTCCTTCGAGAGTGCCAGTTTGACCCAGCCAACGAGAGTGTGCGGGCCACAGGGAGAGAGTAGGGCAGATCGGAGGAAGAGGAGGAGAGGGAGCACGAGAAATGCGGGGACAGTGACAAAAACGAGAAAGGGCTCAACTGTTGTGACTATATCAGGAACAGCGAGGTTGGATGTGAGAGGGGAGTTGGAAAGAGGCGGAAACGAGGAGGAGGAGGGGGGGGAGGGAGGAGGGATGGGCTCGCAGAGGGGAACAGCCCAGCCGTAGATCGAAAGAGATCCGACGGCGCAGGAGGGCCCGAGGGGGCATGCCCAGAACCAGGGAAAGAGGCAGAGGTAGAGGAGGAGGAGCAGGGAGAGGGAGCAGGCAGAGGAGTGAGAAGCAGCGAGGTAGATGTGTAGTAAGAGACGTAGGAGGGCGAGGAGAGGGGAGGGGAGGGATTTGATGAGAGTGAGAAGAGAGGAGGTGATGGTTTGTACAAGGGATGGTGAGGGGGGTTGGGATGAGTGGGGAGAGGGAGAGGAGGAAAAGCGTGAAGAGGGAGGGGAGGGTTGTGGTACAGCGGCTGGGGTGGTGGTAGGAGAGTGAGGGGAGGATGGATGAGTGGGGTGAGAGGAATAAAAGGAATGAGAGCAGTGAGGAGAGTGGGAAGAGGGAGGGGAGATGAGATACGTCAAGGCCCGAGGGACTAGGAGTATGAGGGCGAGGAAGAGGAGAGGTGTGACAATAGCGAAGGCCCACAGATCCTCCCAATCCGTCCACATAATGGTCCGCTCCAACAACGTGTGGGGGAACGGTACAGGGCGGTTGAATGCGGTGAAGGGCTGTGCAGGAGACGTGTACACTGATACACCCCTCTCTACTGCCGCTTCTGCTGCTCCTGCAGCAGCAGCAGCAGCAGCAGCACCCAGCAGTGTTTTTTCAGCAGACGCAGCAGAAGCATCATGGGGAAGAGGAGGAGGAGAGTGGTAAGACACCCGGATGGCAAGCCAGAGGCGGGAGGAGGGAGAGAAGGGCGGGCGAGTGTATCTCGACGCGTCCCACGCCGCCCAGAAGAGCGGAGACGGCCGGGCGAGTGTATCTCAACTGCCGTCCTCTTCACTCCCTCCCTTCCCCACTTCCTCACGACCCTGCTCCTCACCCTCCGGTCCCTCCCTCGTTAGAATCACCTCTTCTACTATCTCCACTTCAATCTTCTTGCCACTCCCCCTGCCGTCACCAGCGTTACCAGCGTTACCAGCACTGCTGTCCTCTGCACCAGGTGATACCCCCCCCCAGAGGGGACTATTTTCGCCCCTGGGATCCACTCGGGCCACTTGAATGCTGCCCCCCTTGCCGCCCATGCCAAACATGCTGCCCCCGTTGCCGCCAAACATGCCACCCAGAATGCCACCCAGGCCGCCGCCCGGCTCCCGCTCGAGATAGACGACAGAAGACACGTTCAGGATCGGCGGCAGGGAGAAGACGAGCGCTCGGATCTCACCCCCCGCCACCCACGCTGCCACCTGCTCTCCCCCTCCCTCTCCCACTCCCTCTCCCCCTCCCTCTCCCTGTCCCTCTCCTGCTCCCACGCCCTTGGGCTGTGATGGTGGCAGGAAGTGAACGTTGGGCGGGCATGTGAGCAGCACCACTGGCTGCCGTGCCAGCATCATGGGACCTGACAGGGGTAAAAGAGTGAAAAGACACAGCAAACACGCTGAGGATGGTAGGGCCACGTGTTTGAAGAAGTGTTTTGAGACGTCTCAAAAGAGTGAAAAGACACAGCAAACACGCTGAGGATGAGGGAGGAAGAAGACAAGGCCTGTCACCCACTCTGCCACCTGCTTTCGCCTCTCCTGCTCCATAGCCGTCGGGCACATAAAAAACAACCTGCAACATTTGATTGGGCGCATCACTCCTCGCTGCAACTGCTTACCTGGTGTGACGCGGTTTGCAGCATCTAAAGGAAAAGTGGGACTGAGCAGCTGCGAGGTATTTTTGAGAATTCTCCAAAAACAGCCTGCAACGTTTGATTGGGCACATCACTCCTCGCTACAACTGCTTACCTGGTGTGACGGAGTCTGCAGCATCTGAAAGAGACTGAGCAGCTGTGAGCCTGTCAACCGCATGCCAGAGGCGATGCTGTCATGGGCCTCTGGCATACGAACCACTCTGAGCAAGCGGCATACTTGCAGGCTGGGGGGTTAGTGCAACTTCTCACCGGGTGTGACCAGGTTGGCAGCGTCTGCTTTGAGAGCGGGACTCAGCAGCTGCAAGTCGGTGAATTAAGGCCTTACCCGGTGTGCCGGGGGCAGCACTATATCGTTCAAGAGCGGGACTCAGCAGCTGCAAGTCGGTGAATTAAGGCCTTACCCGGTGTGCCGGGGGCAGCACTATATCGTTCAAGAGCGGGACTCAGCAGCTGCAAGTCGGTGAATTAAGGCCTTACCCGGTGTGCCGGGGGCAGCACTATATCGTTCAAGAGCGGGACTCAGCAGCTGCAAGTCGGTGAATTGAGGCCTTACCCGGTGTGCCGGGGGCAGCACTATATCGTTCAAGAGCGGGACTCAGCAGCTGCAAGTCGGTGAATTAAGGCCTTACCCGGTGTGCCGGGGGCAGCACTATATCGTTCAAGAGCGGGACTCAGCAGCTGCAAGTCGGTGAATTAAGGCCTTACCCGGTGTGCCGGGGGCAGCACTATATCGTTCAAGAGCGGGACTCAGCAGCTGCAAGTCGGTGAATTAAGGCCTTACCCGGTGTGCCGGGGGCAGCACTATATCGTTCAAGAGCGGGACTCAGCAGCTGCAAGTCGGTGAATTAAGGCCTTACCCGGTGTGCCGGGGGCAGCACTATATCGTTCAAGAGCGGGACTCAGCAGCTGCAAGTCGGTGAATTAAGGCCTTACCCGGTGTGCCGGGGGCAGCACTATATCGTTCAAGAGCGGGACTCAGCAGCTGCAAGTCGGTGAATTAAGGCCTTACCCGGTGTGCCGGGGGCAGCACTATATCGTTCAAGAGCGGGACTCAGCAGCTGCAAGTCGGTGAATTAAGGCCTTACCCGGTGTGCCGGGGGCAGCACTATATCGTTCAAGAGCGGGACTCAGCAGCTGCAAGTCGGTGAATTAAGGCCTTACCCGGTGTGCCGGGGGCAGCACTATATCGTTCAAGAGCGGGACTCAGCAGCTGCAAGTCGGTGAATTAAGGCCTTACCCGGTGTGCCGGGGGCAGCACTATATCGTTCAAGAGCGGGACTCAGCAGCTGCAAGTCGGTGAATTAAGGCCTTACCCGGTGTGCCGGGGGCAGCACTATATCGTTCAAGAGCGGGACTCAGCAGCTGCAAGTCGGTGAATTAAGGCCTTACCCGGTGTGCCGGGGGCAGCACTATATCGTTCAAGAGCGGGACTCAGCAGCTGCAAGTCGGTGAATTAAGGCCTTACCCGGTGTGCCGGGGGCAGCACTATATCGTTCAAGAGCGGGACTCAGCAGCTGCAAGTCGGTGAATTAAGGCCTTACCCGGTGTGCCGGGGGCAGCACTATATCGTTCAAGAGCGGGACTCAGCAGCTGCAAGTCGGTGAATTAAGGCCTTACCCGGTGTGCCGGGGGCAGCACTATATCGTTCAAGAGCGGGACTCAGCAGCTGCAAGTCGGTGAATTAAGGCCTTACCCGGTGTGCCGGGGGCAGCACTATATCGTTCAAGAGCGGGACTCAGCAGCTGCAAGTCGGTGAATTAAGGCCTTACCCGGTGTGCCGGGGGCAGCACTATATCGTTCAAGAGCGGGACTCAGCAGCTGCAAGTCGGTGAATTAAGGCCTTACCCGGTGTGCCGGGGGCAGCACTATATCGTTCAAGAGCGGGACTCAGCAGCTGCAAGTCGGTGAATTAAGGCCTTACCCGGTGTGCCGGGGGCAGCACTATATCGTTCAAGAGCGGGACTCAGCAGCTGCAAGTCGGTGAATTAAGGCCTTACCCGGTGTGCCGGGGGCAGCACTATATCGTTCAAGAGCGGGACTCAGCAGCTGCAAGTCGGTGAATTAAGGCCTTACCCGGTGTGCCGGGGGCAGCACTATATCGTTCAAGAGCGGGACTCAGCAGCTGCAAGTCGGTGAATTAAGGCCTTACCCGGTGTGCCGGGGGCAGCACTATATCGTTCAAGAGCGGGACTCAGCAGCTGCAAGTCGGTGAATTAAGGCCTTACCCGGTGTGCCGGGGGCAGCACTATATCGTTCAAGAGCGGGACTCAGCAGCTGCAAGTCGGTGAATTAAGGCCTTACCCGGTGTGCCGGGGGCAGCACTATATCGTTCAAGAGCGGGACTCAGCAGCTGCAAGTCGGTGAATTAAGGCCTTACCCGGTGTGCCGGGGGCAGCACTATATCGTTCAAGAGCGGGACTCAGCAGCTGCAAGTCGGTGAATTAAGGCCTTACCCGGTGTGCCGGGGGCAGCACTATATCGTTCAAGAGCGGGACTCAGCAGCTGCAAGTCGGTGAATTAAGGCCTTACCCGGTGTGCCGGGGGCAGCACTATATCGTTCAAGAGCGGGACTCAGCAGCTGCAAGTCGGTGAATTAAGGCCTTACCCGGTGTGCCGGGGGCAGCACTATATCGTTCAAGAGCGGGACTCAGCAGCTGCAAGTCGGTGAATTAAGGCCTTACCCGGTGTGCCGGGGGCAGCACTATATCGTTCAAGAGCGGGACTCAGCAGCTGCAAGTCGGTGAATTAAGGCCTTACCCGGTGTGCCGGGGGCAGCACTATATCGTTCAAGAGCGGGACTCAGCAGCTGCAAGTCGGTGAATTAAGGCCTTACCCGGTGTGCCGGGGGCAGCACTATATCGTTCAAGAGCGGGACTCAGCAGCTGCAAGTCGGTGAATTAAGGCCTTACCCGGTGTGCCGGGGGCAGCACTATATCGTTCAAGAGCGGGACTCAGCAGCTGCAAGTCGGTGAATTAAGGCCTTACCCGGTGTGCAGGGGGCAGCACTATATCGTTCAAGAGCGGGACTCAGCAGCTGCAAGTCGGTGAATTAAGGCCTTACCCGGTGTGCCGGGGGCAGCACTATATCGTTCAAGAGCGGGACTCAGCAGCTGCAAGTCGGTGAATTAAGGCCTTACCCGGTGTGCCGGGGGCAGCACTATATCGTTCAAGAGCGGGACTCAGCAGCTGCAAGTCGGTGAATTAAGGCCTTACCCGGTGTGCCGGGGGCAGCACTATATCGTTCAAGAGCGGGACTCAGCAGCTGCAAGTCGGTGAATTAAGGCCTTACCCGGTGTGCCGGGGGCAGCACTATATCGTTCAAGAGCGGGACTCAGCAGCTGCAAGTCGGTGAATTAAGGCCTTACCCGGTGTGCCGGGGGCAGCACTATATCGTTCAAGAGCGGGACTCAGCAGCTGCAAGTCGGTGAATTAAGGCCTTACCCGGTGTGCCGGGGGCAGCACTATATCGTTCAAGAGCGGGACTCAGCAGCTGCAAGTCGGTGAATTAAGGCCTTACCCGGTGTGCCGGGGGCAGCACTATATCGTTCAAGAGCGGGACTCAGCAGCTGCAAGTCGGTGAATTAAGGCCTTACCCGGTGTGCCGGGGGCAGCACTATATCGTTCAAGAGCGGGACTCAGCAGCTGCAAGTCGGTGAATTAAGGCCTTACCCGGTGTGCCGGGGGCAGCACTATATCGTTCAAGAGCGGGACTCAGCAGCTGCAAGTCGGTGAATTAAGGCCTTACCCGGTGTGCCGGGGGCAGCACTATATCGTTCAAGAGCGGGACTCAGCAGCTGCAAGTCGGTGAATTAA